TTGATGATTTGAATTTTGTTGAAATCTTTCCTTTTTATTACTATTAATTTCAATTATTAATTTCTTTTTCTTTGTATTTATTATTTCTTTATTTCCCTTTTTCTCTGATATTAAATGCCACTTTCTTTTTCTTTAATTATTTTTATTTTCAGAATTAAAATAAAAAAATTAAAAATGCAAAAAAGAAAGGAAATTAAAAATGAAACTAAATTTTGGATTTTTGAATTTGAATTTTCGTCCTTCTGCAACTACCGGAGAAATCCTTTTGCTGCTGCTTTTCTCTTTTTATCTTTTTAGACTTTAAAAAAAATTAAAATTTATTAATTAAAAACAAATTCAAAGTGAAACAAAAGATAACTTTTAGACTTTAAAAAGAAATGAAACGAAAAAGAAATTCAAAATCAAACAAAAGATAACTTTTAGACTCTTCCAAAAGAAATAAAATTAAACAAACAACAAATTCAAAATGAAACAGAAAAGACTTTTAAACTTCTGAAAAGGAAATAAAATTAAAAATAAATTCAAAATAAAGCGAAAAATGATATTTAGACTTTTCAGAAGAAACGAAATTAAAAAACAAATTCAAAATAAAATAAAAAAGAACTTTTAATCTTTGGAAAAAGAAATAAAATTAAGAAAACAACAAATTCAAAATAAAGTAAAAGAGCTTTCAACCTTTTGAAAAAAGAAATAAAATTAAAAATAAATTCAAAACAAAAAAGAACTTTTGATTTCTTTTTGCTGCTTTTGTCTTTGAGTTGAAAACAAAAAGTTTTTTAATTTCTTTTTGTGATTTTCTTTTTAGCCAGTTTTAAAAGAATAAACCAGCTGCCTTGTATTATTTGTTTATTTATTTATTTATTTAATTTTATTTATTTATTTATTTATTTATTTATTTATTTATTTATTTATTTATTTATTTATTTATTTATTTTCTGATTTGTTGGTTTTAGGCGAAGTGCGGCAAGAAACAAATGAAGTCCACAACCCAAAGACTTGAATTTCAAAAACTCAACAATTAATTAATTAATTAATTAATTAATTAATTGATAATTAATTAGTTAATTAATTAATTAGTTAATTAATTAGTTTATTTATTTATTTACTTATTTATATATTTAATAGTTTATTTATTTATCAATTAATTAATTAACTGAGTTGTTTGAATGGCTAGCCACTTTGGGACTTCATGAATTAATCGTTTAAACAGATAATAAATCAAACAAATGAACAAACAAACAAATAAACAAACAAATAAATAACAAATGAATAAATAAATAAACAAATAAATAAATAAATAAATAAATAAATAAATAAATAATTAAATAA